AATGTAAAGAATTGTTTTAAATATTTTTTGATTTTTCTTTTTTATGTAGTTGACCAAAAATAGTATATTTTCAGTAATCCATGAAACTATTTTTGCATCTAAAATGCTCAAGTCCTGAAAAGCTATGAGTCAAATGCTATGCGTATGAACTCACGATATCTCACTCAATTGGTACTATATAAATATTTATTTTTTGATTTCAACAACATTTATCTTGATATATCAAATTTTATGATTTTAGTAATTTCATATACTGAAGCCAAATCTAGAAGATCTTCAAAACCTAATTGCAATACATGCAAATGTTTTTGTGCGAGATATGCTAAGCGTGTGAGAAAACACGGATGTGATAAGCTCGTGAGGAAGTCGAAAGGTATGTTTTTTTTTATATCTTCAGACTTATTGATTAAACAAGAAACATGTGATTTTTTTATTGTGATATTCTCAAAACAATGAAATTTAACGTGAAATATCTGCACTAATTACATATATCGTGTTTTTGTACCTTAGTTGAAGTGATTCTGTTAGAATTCTCATATGCGGCTCCATCATAATATGTGAATTGGTATATTGTTCTTTCTTGATATTTTTGATATGATATTTTTATTACTTTTGGAATTTGTTTTCAACAGTCGAACTTTGTTGGAATTGCAACAGTTGTCAGAACGACAATGGGCAAAGATCAAATAGTGTCCTCGGGGGCTAAGTATACAAAACACACACGAAATGAAGCAAGAAACAACAGACTAGAAGTGCTTGATAAACAAATCCAGAGTGTCGGAGCTTTGAATTATTTTCATGTTTAAGCTAAAGGCACAACGTGTAATATTTAATAAAATGGAGCTTAGATATTTTCTTTGTATATGTCGAGTCAGATATGGGTAATCGGTCCACATCAATTTAGAAAATCTTATAGTAATTAGTATAGCGCTATAGTCATCTTAACCATATAGTATGAATATGTTGGGTGAGTTATGTTAGACCAGGGTGTCCCAAACCCAGGCCCGCGGGATGAATGTGGCCCTCAGCTTCATCATGTTTGGCCCGCGTCGCATTCGAAGAGTAATCGAAAAATCGCATTTGGTGTTGTTTCGTCATAAAATTAAAAAGAAAATCTTTCGACATATAGTTACATCACTAATGACACTGAATTGACTAGTGCTATGGCTAGCTGAGGTAACTAGCAAAGTTGAATGGTGCGCTTGACAATCTAAATCAGGGGTGTGCAAAGCGCGACCCGCAATGGAAAATTGTGCGGCCCGCGGAGGCGACTGAATAGCAGTTTGAAAAATTTTAACATTAAAAGATAAAATAGCTAAATGAGTTTTGGGTCCAGCCTATCAGTTGATGTTGTCTAAATCGAACCTAGAATAAGATTTGTCAGCAAATTATTTGGAAATTAAACTTGGTGCATTTTACTAAAAACTTCTCAATCAAGTTACTTCCCACATTTGAAAAAGTCATGGCTTCAAATGTGGCACTTTTCGGTAATCTATTTTTGTTCTAAAATGGGCGTCGCATCGAATTGGTAGCACTTCCATTTAAGCAAATTTGGATAAAAGTAGTCGGGAAAAGAATCCATCAGAAAATTTCTCACTGTATTCGTTTAAATTGGGTGCAACAATATATATCTTTAAATTACAGTTCTAAGAACTTAATGCGTTTCAACTCATCATTTCTGTAAGGACCATGAGATCAATAATGGTTCATCCATGTAAAGAAATTCAAAACGAACAAGTGATGTTTTACAAAAACCTATACCAAAAACGGGAAAATTTGGACAATGAATACCAAGAAACAATAATAAATAATTTTCAACAAAGAATAACAAATAGCCAGAAAATAGAATTGGATAGTCAAATAACAGAAAGTGAGCTAGATAGTGCTTTGAAACAAATGAAATCAAATAAGTCTCCGGGTTTAGATGGACTAACTCGTGAATTTTATTCCAAATTCTGGAAATATTTACGCCCAATTCTACTTTTGATATATAAAAGCTACCATGAACAATTATGGTTGTCTCGAAGCACAAATTTAGGCCTGATAACTCTAATATACAAAAGAGGTGATAAACATGAATTAAAAAATTGGAGACCAATTAAACTACTAAATTTTGAATATAAATTAATAGCAAAAGTCCTGGCCATAAGGTTGAAAACAGTTCTACCAGATTTAATAAATAATGATCAAACAGGCTTTATTGAAGGGCGGGTGATTCACGAGAATCTGTTAACAATAAGAGATGATATCTTTTGGGCAAATAAACAAAACCAATCTCTAATAATATTAGGACATGACCAGAAAAAAGCCTATGATACAGTTGATCGACAGTTGCTACTTAGATTATTAAAAAAATGGATTTTGGTAACTTTTTTCGAAAATGGGTATATACTCTTATTAACAGCACCAGGGCTAAAATTTTACCCAATGGTTTTCTTTCAAAAGAATTCAATATTACACGTGGAGTAAGGCAAGGATGTCCACTAGCTCCCTTATTATATATATTAATGTCAGAAATGATAGCATGCAACATCAGATGCAATAATAGAATTATAGGATTTAGGAATTGCACAGGATCAAGAGAGAAATACAAGGGGTTTGCTGATGATAATATAGTGACAGTTGAGAATTTAACCTCAATAGATGAGGTTTTAAAAGTAATGGATAGATTTGAAAAAGCGACAGATTCAAAAATAAACATCGCCAAAAGTAACATTATGTTGTGTGGTTCAGCCAAACATTATAATATAGGACCATCATATAGAGGTATCCAGATCAAACAAGAATTAAAAATTCTAGGAACATTCATAGGGAACAGTATAGTATCACGAGATAAAAACTGGGTAAAAATCACAAATTCTATTCAGAGTGTAGTAAATTTACGGAGATCTAGAATATTATCTATGATAGGAAAAAGTTTAATTGTCAAGACATTAATGTTATCTAAACTGTGGCATATAGCCAACTATGAGATTATGCCAGAAACATTTGTTAGAAAAATAGAATCTATCATTGGGAATTTTATTTGGAACAATAAAACGCAGCTGGTAGCTAGACAAATTACAACAGGAGGATACAGTAAAGGGGGATTAAATATGATGGACCTTAGAAGCCAGTTGAAAGCCTTACAGGTGAAATGGATATTTAAATTACCCAAAAATGAAAATAGACTATGAGGTAGAAGAGCAAGATACTTTATTAATGCATATTGTAATATTTTGACTAATGATAATTTGGAAAGCTTACACTTGTTGGTAAGAATTGAAAAAACAACAGCAATACCAAATTTCTATACCACTATAGTAAATTCTTTCAAGGACTTGAAATTGGAAAGAAATCATCTATTGAATGTCAGTGAAGTAAAAGGGGAAATATTATGGTATAATCTATTAATTCAGGGTCAAAATTTTACTTTTTCATCTAAATGGATTCAATCGAAAGTCATCTCTGTTGCAGATATTTTAGATAATACTCTACAAACTTTAACAAATAAAATATACTCGGTTGATATAATCAGAAATGACCAGAGAAAGCTTTTTTATTTAAATAGATGTTCTTTTGAAATTCATCAAGTTTGGAACAATTTGCAAAGTTGGAAAGAAATTTTAGCAAATAATCATATTATAACAGAACACAGACCTAGAATACTCAGGTATATTGAGTCGGAAAACCTAACTACCAAAACAATAAGTACATTATTCAAAAATAAAAAAATAAAAGAAATTGCTACACGACATGATAATTACATTAAACAAAAATTTAATCTGAATACGCCAATTGATTGCTCAAAGATTTGGCAAGGTGAAATTCCTAACAACTACAAAATATTAACTTGGAAAATTTCGCATAATGGCCTACCAACAGGGGACAAATTGAAAGATTGATTTAACAATGAAAATGGATTGTGTGTAATTTGCAATGAATATGAAGAAACATACATGCATTTATTTTGTTATTGTGAATGGGTTTCCGATTTTTGGGAATGGTGTAAATTGGATAAAAATAATTATGATAAAATAATTTTCAATAATATTCAAAGTGAAGTTGAACTATTAATTATAAATTGTGCAAAGTCAACGATTTGGGAATTCAGAAATAGTGTTAAATACGATGAGGTTTATCAGATGCAGTGCAACATGAGGGCTATTCTCAAATGCAAACTCATAGGCATCATTAAATTAAAGCCGAGCTGTGATCAAGAAAATTTATTTTTTGATGAAACTATAGATGAAATCCTTCAAAAATCTATAATGGTTTGATTATATTTGATTAGGTGTGGATTTGAATAGGTTTATGAGTCACATTTATATTTAGGTCAAGTGTTAACATAGTCAGGGAAATAGGAAAATCCTAACAGCATGATGGGCTTTTCAAATTCCCTGTCTAATTTTTCAATGTATCTTGTTTTTCCATGCTAATCTAAAATATATAACTATGTTTCTGCACTATGGTGGCGTTATGGACAACTGTCAAATCAAATGGACTTATGATAAACAATGGACTATCAAAAATGGATGGAAATATAATACTTGTGTATATAAATGTATTTATTGTATCTGTATGGTAAAACTATATTATTCATATTGCAATTCACTGGAATGCAAAACATGCGATTGTCTTCCAAAACAAATCTCCGAAACCAAATTATTTATAATCAATGTATTGACTTACAAAAATTATAACATAAAAATGCCCACATTGGCTATGGAATGATATTTAGCAAAAAAAAAAAATTATATTTATCAAAAAAAAAAAAAAAAGAGATCAATAACAAAAAGACACCATTTTGTGCCTGTAACTAATAGAAAGCCTGTGTGAAATGTAAGTGCGGCCCGCGGTTTAACCCGGTTATTGGACACGTTTATTGGACACGTTTAGTGGCCATAACGATCGTTTCAAAATTTTGTTGTTATTGTTATTGTTATTTGTCTCCGTCTCCATTTTTAAAAAATCGCCTTTCTCTTCGAATACTGGACCAATTGCTTTGATATTTTCAGTGGTTTATTGCTATCAACGATTCTTCTTTTGCTGGGTAAGTTTTATATGTTCATATGTTTATTTTTAAATTCTAAAGTTGTAAATCGAATGTAAAGAATTGTTTTAAATATTTTTTGATTTTTCTTTTTTATGTAGTTGACCAAAAATAGTATATTTTCAGTAATCCATGAAACTATTTTTGCATCTAAAATGCTCAAGTCCTGAAAAGCTATGAGTCAAATGCTATGCGTATGAACTCACGATATCTCACTCAATTGGTACTATATAAATATTTATTTTTTGATTTCAACAACATTTATCTTGATATATCAAATTTTATGATTTTAGTAATTTCATATACTGAAGCCAAATCTAGAAGATCTTCAAAACCTAATTGCAATACATGCAAATGTTTTTGTGCGAGATATGCTAAGCGTGTGAGAAAACACGGATGTGATAAGCTCGTGAGGAAGTCGAAAGGTATGTTTTTTTTTATATCTTCAGACTTATTGATTAAACAAGAAACATGTGATTTTTTTATTGTGATATTCTCAAAACAATGAAATTTAACGTGAAATATCTGCACTAATTACATATATCGTGTTTTTGTACCTTAGTTGAAGTGATTCTGTTAGAATTCTCATATGCGGCTCCATCATAATATGTGAATTGGTATATTGTTCTTTCTTGATATTTTTGATATGATATTTTTTATTACTTTTGGAATTTGTTTTCAACAGTCGAACTTTGTTGGAATTGCAACAGTTGTCAGAACGACAATGGGCAAAGATCAAATAGTGTCCTCGGGGGCTAAGTATACAAAACACACACGAAATGAAGCAAGAAACAACAGACTAGAAGTGCTTGATAAACAAATCCAGAGTGTCGGAGCTTTGAATTATTTTCATGTTTAAGCTAAAGGCACAACGTGTAATATTTAATAAAATGGAGCTTAGATATTTTCTTTGTATATGTCGAGTCAGATATGGGTAATCGGTCCACATCAATTTAGAAAATCTTATAGTAATTAGTATAGCGCTATAGTCATCTTAACCATATAGTATGAATATGTTGGGTGAGTTATGTTAGACCAGGGTGTCCCAAACCCAGGCCCGCGGGATGAATGTGGCCCTCAGCTTCATCATGTTTGGCCCGCGTCGCATTCGAAGAGTAATCGAAAAATCGCATTTGGTGTTGTTTCGTCATAAAATTAAAAAGAAAATCTTTCGACATATAGTTACATCACTAATGACACTGAATTGACTAGTGCTATGGCTAGCTGAGGTAACTAGCAAAGTTGAATGGTGCGCTTGACAATCTAAATCAGGGGTGTGCAAAGCGCGACCCGCAATGGAAAATTGTGCGGCCCGCGGAGGCGACTGAATAGCAGTTTGAAAAATTTTAACATTAAAAGATAAAATAGCTAAATGAGTTTTGGGTCCAGCCTATCAGTTGATGTTGTCTAAATCGAACCTAGAATAAGATTTGTCAGCAAATTATTTGGAAATTAAACTTGGTGCATTTTACTAAAAACTTCTCAATCAAGTTACTTCCCACATTTGAAAAAGTCATGGCTTCAAATGTGGCACTTTTCGGTAATCTATTTTTGTTCTAAAATGGGCGTCGCATCGAATTGGTAGCACTTCCATTTAAGCAAATTTGGATAAAAGTAGTCGGGAAAAGAATCCATCAGAAAATTTCTCACTGTATTCGTTTAAATTGGGTGCAACAATATATATCTTTAAATTACAGTTCTAAGAACTTAATGCGTTTCAACTCATCATTTCTGTAAGGACCATGAGATCAATAATGGTTCATCCATGTAAAGAAATTCAAAACGAACAAGTGATGTTTTACAAAAACCTATACCAAAAACGGGAAAATTTGGACAATGAATACCAAGAAACAATAATAAATAATTTTCAACAAAGAATAACAAATAGCCAGAAAATAGAATTGGATAGTCAAATAACAGAAAGTGAGCTAGATAGTGCTTTGAAACAAATGAAATCAAATAAGTCTCCGGGTTTAGATGGACTAACTCGTGAATTTTATTCCAAATTCTGGAAATATTTACGCCCAATTCTACTTTTGATATATAAAAGCTACCATGAACAATTATGGTTGTCTCGAAGCACAAATTTAGGCCTGATAACTCTAATATACAAAAGAGGTGATAAACATGAATTAAAAAATTGGAGACCAATTAAACTACTAAATTTTGAATATAAATTAATAGCAAAAGTCCTGGCCATAAGGTTGAAAACAGTTCTACCAGATTTAATAAATAATGATCAAACAGGCTTTATTGAAGGGCGGGTGATTCACGAGAATCTGTTAACAATAAGAGATGATATCTTTTGGGCAAATAAACAAAACCAATCTCTAATAATATTAGGACATGACCAGAAAAAAGCCTATGATACAGTTGATCGACAGTTGCTACTTAGATTATTAAAAAAATGGATTTTGGTAACTTTTTTCGAAAATGGGTATATACTCTTATTAACAGCACCAGGGCTAAAATTTTACCCAATGGTTTTCTTTCAAAAGAATTCAATATTACACGTGGAGTAAGGCAAGGATGTCCACTAGCTCCCTTATTATATATATTAATGTCAGAAATGATAGCATGCAACATCAGATGCAATAATAGAATTATAGGATTTAGGAATTGCACAGGATCAAGAGAGAAATACAAGGGGTTTGCTGATGATAATATAGTGACAGTTGAGAATTTAACCTCAATAGATGAGGTTTTAAAAGTAATGGATAGATTTGAAAAAGCGACAGATTCAAAAATAAACATCGCCAAAAGTAACATTATGTTGTGTGGTTCAGCCAAACATTATAATATAGGACCATCATATAGAGGTATCCAGATCAAACAAGAATTAAAAATTCTAGGAACATTCATAGGGAACAGTATAGTATCACGAGATAAAAACTGGGTAAAAATCACAAATTCTATTCAGAGTGTAGTAAATTTACGGAGATCTAGAATATTATCTATGATAGGAAAAAGTTTAATTGTCAAGACATTAATGTTATCTAAACTGTGGCATATAGCCAACTATGAGATTATGCCAGAAACATTTGTTAGAAAAATAGAATCTATCATTGGGAATTTTATTTGGAACAATAAAACGCAGCTGGTAGCTAGACAAATTACAACAGGAGGATACAGTAAAGGGGGATTAAATATGATGGACCTTAGAAGCCAGTTGAAAGCCTTACAGGTGAAATGGATATTTAAATTACCCAAAAATGAAAATAGACTATGAGGTAGAAGAGCAAGATACTTTATTAATGCATATTGTAATATTTTGACTAATGATAATTTGGAAAGCTTACACTTGTTGGTAAGAATTGAAAAAACAACAGCAATACCAAATTTCTATACCACTATAGTAAATTCTTTCAAGGACTTGAAATTGGAAAGAAATCATCTATTGAATGTCAGTGAAGTAAAAGGGGAAATATTATGGTATAATCTATTAATTCAGGGTCAAAATTTTACTTTTTCATCTAAATGGATTCAATCGAAAGTCATCTCTGTTGCAGATATTTTAGATAATACTCTACAAACTTTAACAAATAAAATATACTCGGTTGATATAATCAGAAATGACCAGAGAAAGCTTTTTTATTTAAATAGATGTTCTTTTGAAATTCATCAAGTTTGGAACAATTTGCAAAGTTGGAAAGAAATTTTAGCAAATAATCATATTATAACAGAACACAGACCTAGAATACTCAGGTATATTGAGTCGGAAAACCTAACTACCAAAACAATAAGTACATTATTCAAAAATAAAAAAATAAAAGAAATTGCTACACGACATGATAATTACATTAAACAAAAATTTAATCTGAATACGCCAATTGATTGCTCAAAGATTTGGCAAGGTGAAATTCCTAACAACTACAAAATATTAACTTGGAAAATTTCGCATAATGGCCTACCAACAGGGGACAAATTGAAAGATTGATTTAACAATGAAAATGGATTGTGTGTAATTTGCAATGAATATGAAGAAACATACATGCATTTATTTTGTTATTGTGAATGGGTTTCCGATTTTTGGGAATGGTGTAAATTGGATAAAAATAATTATGATAAAATAATTTTCAATAATATTCAAAGTGAAGTTGAACTATTAATTATAAATTGTGCAAAGTCAACGATTTGGGAATTCAGAAATAGTGTTAAATACGATGAGGTTTATCAGATGCAGTGCAACATGAGGGCTATTCTCAAATGCAAACTCATAGGCATCATTAAATTAAAGCCGAGCTGTGATCAAGAAAATTTATTTTTTGATGAAACTATAGATGAAATCCTTCAAAAATCTATAATGGTTTGATTATATTTGATTAGGTGTGGATTTGAATAGGTTTATGAGTCACATTTATATTTAGGTCAAGTGTTAACATAGTCAGGGAAATAGGAAAATCCTAACAGCATGATGGGCTTTTCAAATTCCCTGTCTAATTTTTCAATGTATCTTGTTTTTCCATGCTAATCTAAAATATATAACTATGTTTCTGCACTATGGTGGCGTTATGGACAACTGTCAAATCAAATGGACTTATGATAAACAATGGACTATCAAAAATGGATGGAAATATAATACTTGTGTATATAAATGTATTTATTGTATCTGTATGGTAAAACTATATTATTCATATTGCAATTCACTGGAATGCAAAACATGCGATTGTCTTCCAAAACAAATCTCCGAAACCAAATTATTTATAATCAATGTATTGACTTACAAAAATTATAACATAAAAATGCCCACATTGGCTATGGAATGATATTTAGCAAAAAAAAAAATTATATTTATCAAAAAAAAAAAAAAAAGAGATCAATAACAAAAAGACACCATTTTGTGCCTGTAACTAATAGAAAGCCTGTGTGAAATGTAAGTGCGGCCCGCGGTTTAACCCGGTTATTGGACACGTTTATTGGACACGTTTAGTGGCCATAACGATCGTTTCAAAATTTTGTTGTTATTGTTATTGTTATTTGTCTCCGTCTCCATTTTTAAAAAATCGCCTTTCTCTTCGAATACTGGACCAATTGCTTTGATATTTTCAGTGGTTAAAGATAAAATTTTTCTCCAGAAGGCTATTACTTTTTTTCTCTCGCTATGACGTCATCAAAATTATTGCCACTACGTGTCCATATATTTGAGCATAGCTCTCTTGTTGATATTTGGCCCGCCTGCGAAAAAGGTTGCACACCCCTGATCTAAATTGTTATCAGGCATTCTTTTTGGTCGGTAATTAAGCGCCAGTTCTCTGGCTGTGCATAGTTCTATGACTTCTGCAAGATTCAAATGTGGTCTTTTCGCCAAGATTTCTGCCCGAATATTGTCATCGTCATGTCCACTAATGATAATAGTTGCATGAAGATCGTCAAGATTAATCTCTCTTGCCTCTGAAGCGTCCGCTGAATTTCGCACACCTACTACAAAATCAGAAAAAGATTCATGTTTGGCCTACTATTGCCTCTTGGCCTACTATTGCCTATCCGCGACTATTGCCTCACTTTGCATTGCAGTAACTTGTGTTTTGGCAATGGCTTGTGCAAGCATCTCGGCGAATGCATATGGAGCTTCTACCGTGGCAGGTTTGACTTTATGTTCTGTTCTCTTGTCGACCTCTGCTTTCAGTGCGAATGCTAACATAACTTTTGCATCAGACTTGTGTGCTGAAATACCCAAGATTCCAAGGCTTGTATAAGCTCATCTACTTGAAGAGCATCAATATCTATTTCTGTTAGCCCAGCGACAAAATCCAGGTTAGATAAATCCATTTTAACAAGCCGATAACGCCATGTACTGATTCCCAAGAATTCAGATAAACATTAACTTAACACAGAGTTTATTAGCTCCTAACTTTAACACAGACAAAACATAAGTGACCAGTGAACAATACCAGACTAAATAGG